TGGCCCCAACACTGAACCCTGAGGAACAAATTAGCAACTCCCTCTTTCTGGCTCTAGTCTTTTACATAATTTATTGTGCTTTTCCTCTATGTCTCAAACTCACTCTGGTTGTATTAATTAACAGCGTTGACTTAAAAATAACGGAGGCAGTGAACCCTAAAAAGCTTGAGAGAATGCTCACATCTTATTGTTTTCTTGTGCCATTCAGACTGGCTAGCCTTGCTGTATCTCCAGGAAAATAAAACCTAACCTTGAAATACGTGAGTTAAATTATATAGACAGTACACAGAACTTTTGGCTGCTCAAACAATTTATGTGAAGATTACAAATGCTCATAACTTTTGCTAGGCTGCAGTCCTATTGTTTAGTGGAGCCAAACGCAATGCTCTTTGACTTGCTGGGAGGTAAGTCTATGTCTGTTTTTCATGGTCCTTTTTACACCGCTCAGTTGTCTTCTGGCAACCTATTGACAGCTTTTCAATTGCCCTCCTCTTGGGGTACATGAATAAAATGAAGGAAATTATTTTCCTAAGGAAACCCTGAAGATAGATTTATTGAAGGTTTACGATACTATACTGTACCTTAATTGGCACACTTGATCCAATTTGTTAGTTTTAACTAAATCTTGAATAGTTGATTGTACCCTGCCATTTTGTAATCTGAATGAAGTGACTATGTGAAAACTACTTCTAGCACTTGATAAGATTTTTCTCTGCTAAATTAATTTTCAGGTATTTGTTCCTTATAAAGAAAGTGAGCATTTGCTGAAGTTCATTGAAGTAAAACTTGGCTTAAACACAACTAAGTAAGTTTTTAAACTCTTTACAGTTTCTAAGATATCCAGACTTCTGAAAGTGCTCTGAGAAGTCTAAAATTTCAGTGGCTTGTGAGAATTTATAGAGGAGTTAGGGAAATGGTTTCTATTTGTCGCCTGGTTTTAAGGCTGAATTAAAGGAAGATGCAGATACAGAATTTGCTTAGGATTTTGAGGTTTCTGAGGAACCTCAATATTTTTCATGCCTTGAGGTGAAATCATTTAATAGATTTTCATGTTCTTTTGATGTTGAAGAGCAAAAACTTTCTGTACCCTGCCTAGCATTTTTAATAAGAATGGAAAGCAAAGATATTAGGGTAAAGGTGGTGGTACTAACTTTTTATAACCTGGGAAAGAAAGGGCTCTGAAAAGAGTCATGAACTATTGATACTATCTCAAAACAGAGTTAGGTTGTGGGGTTTTATTTTTAGTTTCGTAAGAGTAGCACCCCTGCAAAAAACATGTATGTTGGAAGAAATTAGGACAAGGCACAACTTAAAGTCAGAGGGAATTGTTGTCATGCTAAGAAAAACTGTTTGCATCTGTAAAAGAGTTGAATGTTGGTCTACAAGAAGAAGATGTCATGGCTACAGATTTTCTGGAAGACTTCAAATGGTGTATGGTAAGGACCGAGACACCTCCTGGACCCAAGCCAAGACTTGCAGTTCTGTGCAGGAATTGAGACTCTCTCTTGGGAACTGCATCTCTCTTACAAAACTACTTCACAGCCTTTCAGGGGAAGAAGTGGAAAGTGACATTGCACACAGTTGAAATTGTTGGGAAATTTTTGGACATGTAATGACGTTGACTAAGATCCATTGTTTAACACACATACTTGCACATTCTTAAGTCTTTTGCAAGAAAAGAAAGGACTGCTGGTCAGCATTTTGGTTTATTCAGCTACCAGGTATTATGGATTTATTTTTTTTTCTCCCCCCTGGGGACTTGCTACATGTTATTTTCCAGGCTGTCAAAGTCTGCAATGAAGCTGGTGGTTGAGACAAACTAGGTGCAACTATGCCTAGAAAATTGTGTAACTGTGGATTGGAATTACGGTTTGCAGCACAAGAGCTTCAAGATCTGCCTTTTAAGGCCAGTTTGGATGTGCCTAGCTGTTAATCTTTAAACTGATTCTGTCTAATTGAAAGTGGTTCAGTTCTCTAGTCTTCCCTTGGGGGAAAAGAAAAAGAAAAAGAAAAGAGGGAGGAAAGCAAAACAAAGTAAGACAAGAATGTATTCATGGCATCACATGCTGCACCAATTCCAGTTGAGAATACACATTGATAGTGCTTCTTGGCAGAGTATATAATCTTTCTGCTCGTTAATTGAGAAAGAGGAACGATTGAGGGGGTTCGGCTACAGAACTAGAATTTCAGCATTAAAGATTCTATTCTTGGCAGTGCCTCAAGCTTGTTTGTGATCTCAGATGACCACTTTCCCTCCTTCATCTCGGTGTTTGGAATGAGGACAAGCATACCTTCTTGCATCAATATCTCTAAAATCTTAATCCACTGTGACAACAAAGTGCTTTGTGGTCCCCATAATGGAGTTACATGGGAGGTTGAGTTTTTATGATATGAAAGAGTTGTAGTCTGGTCTCTTCAGGTCACAGATTCTTTTTTGGAAGATAAGCTTTTGACAGTTACTCTAAAGAGCACTTAAAAGGCGGTTTCAGATGATAAAAAGATAACTTTTCAAAGACGAATGTCACGTAGTTTCCTGTGATGTGAATAATTAAACTGTGATTGATTGTGTGCTGGATTTTTTTTGTTTTGTTTTGTTTTCTAATCTGTGGGGTATTGTTACTGTTTTTAATGGAATGTTTTTGCCTTACTAGGAATTTTACAATGAACTGGCTCCTCTGTCAAGAATCTCTTCAGGCACCCTCCCAAGACTTTTTTTTGCGACTAACACAGTCATCACTGTTGCCTTTCTATATTTTAGTATTAATTATCTGCCTTTTTTCTGTGACTCAGGTCATTTTTAGGAGAATTTGGTAAGTAATTTATTTATACTGAAAAATAAGAAGTTAAAAATAAGAGGTTCATGGATGTCTACGTGAATGGTCGTCATGTTTGTTGCTCCAAAATTTGAGCTTGCCAGGGTGTGAACACCAGTGGAAAGGCCCACCAGAGGCTCCTTAAGAAAATCCTTTAGTCAGGAGCTTCTTGAGCATCCCTCCAGTTAGGACAGGGGATTGTCCTTGGTTTGTTTCCCCATAGGTGCAATTCCTGCAGAGCTCTGGCTAATGTTTTGTGATATGTTTATGTCTCTTCCCATTGCAAGGGAGAAAGACATTTTATCTGTTTTCTTCTTCCAATAGCAAAGTTATCTGATTGTTGCTAGAGAATTTGTTTCTCTGTTTTGGGTTTGCTGGTGGTGGGTTTTTTTCCTAAGTTTACGTACTGTGAAGGATTAGGTGGGTGGAGTTGAGAGGATTTCAGATTTCTAATGCTTCACTCTGCTTTTTTTTTTTTTTAAAAAAACCTCTTGTTTACTGTGATAAGGTCCATCAGCCTTTGCAGCTCAGAACAGAGCTGAAGTAAAACTGACTCAATTATTTTTAGTTTCACAGTGATTCACAGTTCCCTTGGGAGAAGGGGTAGTGGAGCTGCCTGTTTACGGACTAAGAATAGCAACACTGTAGATCCTTGTGTAACTTGTCTTGGAAACTCAATGGCTAGGAAATTATCTTTTCCTAGTAGAAGATGAATGGTGTAACTGCTCAGGTATTAGGGCAAATTTCTCACTTGTCTGCAGCCAAAATCAATAGATTTTTTTCAAGGACCAAAACTTCTAATAGATAAGGACTATACTGCTATAAATGAAAATGTTTGTCAGGTTGGATGTGTATATTCAAACACACAAAAAATAGTATATTCAAACAGTGAAAGAAACTTTGATTTTTTGCTAGTGGTTGAAATTACTTTGTAATAAGCAGTGACTCTAGTATGTCTCAACAGTTTTTTAAAGAAAAGCTTAAAATAAACCTTCTCCCCCCTCATTTTTTTTTAATTTTGAAGCAGTTAATAATCTCAAATATTTTTCCATTTGTCAAGAGGAAGCTTATTATAAAATTGTAACATGAATTCACATCATGGTAGAATAAAATGTTATCTATTGTGTGCCTTGCATTCTCTTTTGTAGAAAAACATTTTTGTAAGATTTTGGTTATGATTTTTATTTATGGTATATTACTAGAATTTATAATAATGTGACTAAAACCTGTTTTTGTTATCTTGCCTTGTCATAAAATGGTATACGCATTCCATACACAATTATCATCCTACAGATTCCATAATTCTTCACCAAGCTAATGATATGAAGAAATTTAGTTAGAATGCATGTAAAGCATGCTTCATCTAAATATTTGTGGAGTGTGCATGCTCTTAAATTAGACTGTTTCTTGGTGCTGAATTACTTCAAAATAGGATTTATGGTAATAGGCAGTGATCCCATTGTATTAATTCAACAGCCGTTGCTCCAGAGGGGTTACAGTCTAAAGGGACAGCGGGTACTGATAGATCATTGATGAAGTACAGAAAACAAATAAGTAGTGCAACAATATTGTATGATGTGATACAGAATGATCTCAGTGTACTGCTGAATTACCAGTCATAAAGGTATTTTTATTGGCACCTTTGCCTGAGATAATGTCTGAATTAAGTGATGTCTCATTTTCTCCAACTGCAGTGGTGAACCACTGAAAGAGACAGTTAAACTTGAGGATGGTCGAATTGGAGAGAGACCAGAAATAGTTTATCATGTAATTCACACAATTTTACTTGGTTGTCTAGCGATGTGTTTGGAAGGGTAAGTCTGATTTTGATGTATCTCTTTTGAAAGCAACAGAGTTCCTAACTGGACATGATATAGCTTTCATCCCTTTGAAATTCACCCCTTTTCAGAGATGTATTTGGCATATAGTGGTCCTAGGTAGTAAGGGAGAGAGCAAAGACCATTTTGACTATAAATTGGATACAGGTATATGATGAATTGTGCTTGGTCTCTTTAACATGTTTTCCAAGCTTTAATGCAGCCAAAATCCAAGACATTAATTGAAGAAAATTTTAATCACTTTCTTTATGGTATTTAAGTGTAGAACTGTGCTATAATTCTTTTAATATTGTATTCCAGCAAGATCTTGTGTAGTGTTTTGATAAACAGTGTATGTTCTGGAATATTGGGATGTGGAAGATTTCTTGTCCATCTTCTTTTGTCTAGGCTAGCATGATGTATACCTTTGCTTGACATGTTAAAGCAGTAGCAAAACTATTTTCAAAGGTATTGTGTTAGTCCTTAAAGCTACAGAAGCTAATGTTTGGAAGACGTTCTGATCTTGGCTCCCAGCTAAATCAGCTTGAAGGTGGCAGACTTGTGTTTGTATTATGCTCATTGTCCTGAAATCTGAATATTCACAGATTCTTAAAGTGAGCAGACCGTTGTGTCACCATGTAGTTGTTTTAACTTGACTAGTCTTATCTTTGAGAGGCACATAATACCAGCAAATCGTAAATTGTTTATTAAATATTTTCCTTTCCTTTCTTCAGGAAGTCCCTTATACTACAGTGTCTGTACAGGTTTTTTGTTGAATAGCTGCTTTTTATCCTTCCTTGGCTGGAAAACCACAACAGCTGAGTGATTTTAAAGTCTTTGTTTTTCTTTCATCTTCCCCTGAAATCTGTGAAGGATTTTGTCTTCTTTTACCTTGGATCTTGCTCCTCCATCTTGCATCAGATAATCAGGTGCCTGCTCTTCTGCTAGAGGTTTCCTTGGTTTTCCCTTCAGTGCCATCAAATTTGATCTCGGATTGCTTGAACATCCAGTCTCTGTTTGACATGAAAAAAATCTGAATGTTTTTATAAATAGCTTGAATACAGAGGCACGCACAGAGTACCAACTAAGTTATTGCAATGTTTTTCAGAATGAAATATCTATGGACACCTTATGTTTGCATGCTTGCTGCATTTGGTGTGTGCTCTCCCGAACTTTGGATGACACTTTTCAAGTGGCTTCGACTGAAAGCTGTGCACCCGATATTGCTGGTGAGCTGCTTTTGCCAATGTTTTGGGAATTACAGCTGGCAAGCGTAGAACTTTTCAAACAACAATTAGCTAAGGCCTATAGAAGAACCCGTTAAAAGAACATGTAGTTCTGTGAGCAGTGGATCTCATATAGTCTGCTTTTTCTGTGTCTTTCGTTCTTACTATCAAGTTTTCACGAGTTCTCTGGTAGCTGGTGATAAAGTTGTTTTCTCACTACAGTCTTTCCTCATAAGAAGCAGAGCTGCCTTCCTCTCTCTCTCTCTTTCACTCATCTGTTTCATTTCTTTTATCAAATCTTTGAGAGCTCAAGCTCTCTGTCATATTTAGTTGAGATAGGCCAAGAAGGTCATGTGCATTTTGGGAGGGGTGCAGGAGAAAAAGTAGTCATGCAGGCAAGCATTGATACAATCTTTGTCTCACTGGGAAATGGGGCTAAAAATGTGGTAGTTGGGTGTATTTAATTGCAGGTCATAAAGCTGCTTCATAAGAAATGGTAAGTGGAATTACTTTGCGTAAGATTTGTTCATCTGTGGCGATTATAGAGAAGTGTTGCAATTGAAGATGAGCTTGTGCTACAGTGCAAACAACTTCCTAACTTCCAACCCTAGTTTTATTCTTAATATACTGAGAGTTGCTTTGTGAAATTTTTAGGAGCTTTGTGCATTTGTTTTACTAATAAAATAAGGATAGGATATTACTTACCTTAATTTCAAGAGGCTTGTAGGAATAAATATTTTATACTTAAATAGAGATTCACTATTTCACTTGTGAAAATGCCATACACTGTTACATCAGAAACATTGACAGTGTTCTTCCAATCAAGGAGTAACAATGTGTTCGTGTACGTGGTAAACACATTCTTTTATATACTTCAGGCTTTCTGCTATATAGACCTGCTTTTTTACTATTAACACAGTAGATGTGTTAATAGCTTATTATCAACAGAATGCCTTCTGTGCATTCCTTACCAAATGTTTTCTGTACCATGCGAGCTATTTTCTTCTTTTTGCAAAGCAAAAAATATATCAGCCAGAACGATAATGTGCTGAAGAACGGGTTTCTGGGTTTTGCATATCAATATTGTAACTCTGAACTAAAGCATCAACAAGATCAGATGTTTGAAATGCTTGTTTAATACTTCTTTTTTTTCCTTTCTCAGATTATCTCATTGCGTTTGTATGCTAGGTGTTTACTTTTCTTCTGTTCCCTACGTCATATGCACGTTGCATCATTGTTATTTGAGTAGTAATTAACCATCCGTAATATTGATGGTAAAGTTATTGTGGGTGAAATAAGTTCTTCCACGGTAAATTAGGCAAATTCTTGTTTGCGGAGAGTTTTTTACCCAGTAGAAAACCACAAAGTTTTACCTGCTGTCACTCTAAGGTTTCAGGTATAAATGTAGCCTACTCTATGAGCAGATTCAACAGATGGTCCAAGGTTGGAGAACAGAGAATGGTGCGTAATCCATTTCTTCTAACATGTATTTTCCAGGCTCTTATTCTGAGTATGGCAGTTCCGACAATAATTGGATTCAGCTTGTGGAAAGAGGTAAGAAAAGTACCTTTGTGTTTTTTGTTTTGTGTGCAGGCACATGAGTCAAAATGATGAACAAATATAATGAAATATACTTGGTGAAATGAAGTATATATGATGAAATAAAAGCTTTCATCCACTGAAAATATCTTTTGGTGTTTGTTTTTTTTTTTTTTAAACAGAACTGTTTACATTTTTCAGTATGAGGTATTTGACAATTTAATTTGTTAACGATCACTTATTGTAATTAAGAAGTGTTTAAATTTAAAGTAAGACTTTATTATGTTCAGCTATTATGCTTTGGATATATAAACTGACTCAACAGAGAAAATACTGCCAGATAAAAACTCAGGATATTGAAAATTGTGTTGCTCCAATCATGGGTTTAGTGAGAGGGAGTGAGGTTAGATGGAAGTAAAATTAAGAGAGGCCTTGCGCAAATAATCTGTTTGAAAAGCTCCTATCACATTATAATGGAGTTAAATCCTTCATGCAGAGCACTATGTAGAGTTAGGTATATCCTACAATACAGGGAAGAAAAGCTACAGATGTTTCCTTGTTTAAAATAAATACTTAGTTCTTTATTGCACGTCACAGACAGATTGGAGAGAAGAGTATTTGGAAGTTATTTTTTATATTTCGGTAAGTGCAAAAAATACATGAAATATCCCATAGAATGTAACCCTCTGCTATACTGACATAGCTTCAAAATAGTTAGTTTGAATAGTTTTATAAGAATTCAGATATAAAAGTCACTCTTGACCAACAGTATTTTAGCAGATTTTGTAACATCTATCTTATAATAGAAATTTTGGTTGCAATGTAACTGACTCTTTACACATTTCTGCTAGAGCAATAGATATTCTCTTGAAAAAAAGCTACTGTTGCTCAAGAGAGTTACAAAATCTGTTACAATAGAGGAAAGTAGTTTAGTTGAGCAAATAGTTCTTTTTCAGATTATTTTTTAACAAAAGCAGTGTGGGGGTTTGGACTCTAGAGGGCTTCATCCATTGCAGATCCAGATTTTGCTTTTAAGCAGTGGTGAACAGTTTGCTCTCCAGGTTCATAGCTCATCTCTGAGCTTGGGAACTTTGGTTAATAATAATGAGACAGTGCAAATGCCTTGAAGCTCTTGATTTGTTACTGTGGCTATAAATGGCTGAGGGCACAGCTCAGCATCTTTCTGCTTGGCTGCCTTCTGACTCAGTCTGGCATAGTCCCCCATCTAACTAGATTTTTCTGAGGGCTCTGATTGAGAAGTGAAGCTGCTTGTCCTTGGGGTGGCTGTAGTAGTTCTTCTTTCTGTCTGTGTGTTGCTCTGGGGACGATTCAGGTATGTGTATAACAGCATTGCTACAGCTTTCAGCCCTGATATGAACATATGGCAGCTGTTCTTGTGCTACCCTAACATGTCTGGTTGTAGATTGCTGTCATTCAACAGCTGAATTGTCCAGGTAACAGGAGTTGAAACTCCTCAGTTAAAAGCAGGCTCCCACTTCCAACTGTCTGTCCACTGTGGCTGTCCCAAAGTAAGTTGCCTCTTTAGTCTGGCATAACCTGTAAACTTTATCCTTTTCAAAAAGAGCTGGCATCCAGTTAGCTTTCACTTAGCATTTCCAACAGCATGAACATGCTCCAGCCCCTCAAGGCTGGCCAGCTTCCAGCCATGCCACCTTCAGATAAACACTCAAAATGGCTCAAGGACTGACAAAATCTGTCATCTTAATAAAGGACCTGTTGTTCCTTCACCCCTCAAACCTGACAGGATAGGGATGCCGTGGTGCAGGGCTTGCAATCTGGGCTGGTCTGAAGATGTTGGCATTCTGTCTGACTTCCAGAAACCCTCATTTTCCCAAAATGTTTTTGAAGAGCATAAACTGAGATATCCTACTTCATACAATACAATGTACTTTCCTTCAATGCAGTAATTGAAGTCAAGGTCAGAGGAAAGTCCAGGGCAGATTACCCACATTTTCTCTCTTCTAGGAAATTTCTCCTTTCCTGTAACCTTTCCACCAAAATGTTTTTGAAGAGCATAAACTGAGATATCCTACTTCATACAATACAATGTACTTTCCTTCAATGCAGTAATTGAAGTCAAGGTCAGAGGAAAGTCCAGGGCAGATTACCCACATAATGCTCTTCTAGGAAATTTCTCCTTTCCTCTCACCTTTCCATCGAGTCACAACAGCCCAACCCCTCCTGGTCAAGCAGGTTTACCATGAGAGATTTATCACCTTCTTGGTTCAATGCCCTTATTTATATGCATTTGCATATGAAAACCTGAACTATGGTCTTGATGCATTTAAGGCCAGTTAAAGTTGATGAAAATTGTTACTGCATAGGTGTTTTTGTGGGTTTTAAAATTATTTTTTGTTGTAAGTATTCTAATAAAATAGAGAGACATGAGAACTTGTGTTTAACATACTTATTTTGAAGAAGGTCTCCTGCTGTCAGGTAAGTATAAACTGTGTTTTGCAAAATATTCAAACAAAAATACCAATCAGAAGGGAAAACTTGGATGAAATCCATTTCTGTTTTGTTACTTAAGGCCCTAATATAATGAATGCTCTATAGTTTGGGTTTTTTTGAACTGTAAGTAACCAAAAATGTGTTTCCATCAGTTTTTCCCTAGGATAATGACAGAGCTTTCAGAACTACAAGAATTCTATGATCCTGATACAGTAGAACTTATGACATGGATAAAGTAAGTATGAAGTCCTACACTTCTATTTTACTGCTTTGTATCAGGGTATTTTTATCTTGGCATTTTGTCGAGCTACCTCTATTAGTCTGAGTTTTCCCTTGCTAAGTCAGTTCATGATGTATGGGAGGAGATATGTGTATTTTAAGTTTGGTATTATTCCTATTGAGAGAAACAGGAATTTATCATTGATTACAAGAGGAGAAGATCCTGAAACATGTAAGCAAATCATGTTTAATGCAATTACTAGACCTAATTTCCAAATAAAGGTGGACACCTTAGTACTTGGTTCTTCGCACATTAACTTTTTAGTAGATTAGAGGATTCATGTTGGTTGTAATGCCAACGGGGGGCAGAAATACCAAAATTTTTGTGTGCATGAGCCAGTAAAATGAAATGTCTGAATGTGAGGATTTAGAGACTTCAGTCAAGATACACACAGTGTAACATGTACGATTCAAACTTCCCCTTTGACCAGAAGGCAGGAAGGGTTCTTATCTGTCTGGCTAGGCAGGGCATAGCAAATACTGAGTTATGTTATATAGTTCGTACTGAGCCATATACATAGCTAATACCGAGTCAAGTTATTTTCTCAGATGTATTTTTCTTCTCATCAAAAGTTTCAGAACTGGATTCTAGCCTCATTCAATCTAACTTTGAACTATGTCATTAGGAGCTGCACTTCTCTGAAAATTAGATCCCCTGTGTTCAGATAACTTACCTTTAACTGTATTTTTGTAGAACATTATTTTCTGTATTTATGTAGTCTTTAATGTCAACCTGTTCATCTTCAGAAAAGACAAGGCTGATAATTATGGTGTTCCAGCCAGTTTCTTCTTTCTGTTAATAGTAGTGTATGTTGTTTGTCACTGCTGTAGCTCTTCAAGACAGCAAGTGGAATAATGCCAAGTACCTAATGGCTTTTACATTAGTCTGCATACATTACATTTCAAGTACATAATTAATCACGATGAATTGCATTGAGATTCACTCAGCTAAGAGCAATTTGACTACCCTTATTTGTAGCAGCTGTTCATATTTTTAATGAAAATAAAGATATTTTTTTTTCTTAATGATACACTTAGATATCCATAATGGAATTTAATTGAATGTCATTATTACAGTATATTTTCTTAAAATTATCTCTCTGATAATATGAATTTATTTTAAACTTTCTCTGCAGGAAAAGTTACCAAAAGTCTGTAATAAAGTGTGACAATGACTGTTTTCTTTCACTAATACAGGAGTGTGAATAGGCAAAAGATGAAACCAAACCCAGAAACATAATTACTGTAGACATTATTATGTATCATGACACTATTTACTCATACATGATGAAATACATTGTCCTAGAAATCAAATGAAAATAATCACAAATCTTTCCCTTACAAGATAACATCGTGTTGTTTCTCCTTCTACCTACCCTCCCTCTCAAGCTTGTTTTGTCACAAGTCATCAACCGTTCGGAAAAGCAGTAGTTTGATCCATTCCAGGACCCCTCTGAATGGTGCTCCGTGGATTGCAAGGAGGGGAGGAGAAGAGCCATCAGCCCTTGCCCCAGCAGGAAGCCTTCCTTGCAAACTTCATATTGCCGCAGGTCTGAGTGTTTCCTGGCAAGGAGACTACTGCCACTGCAGCATTAGCACCAATTGTAATTAGACCCCCAATGGTGTCTTCATGTACTTCCAATTCATAGTGTAGCACTTACAAGATTCATACAGTGTATAAAATTAAAAACATTGTTTTGAGAAATGGATCCTGTACTCAGATGTGTATGTTGATGTTGCTTTTGCAGACGACAGGCTCCTGTAGCTGCTGTGTTTGCAGGCAGCCCGCAGTTAATGGGTGCGATTAAGCTTTGTACTGGTTGGATGGTCTCAAGTTTGCCTTTATATAATGATGATGATCTTCTAAAAAGAAATGAAAATGTGAGTATCCAACACCATAAATGTGTGTGTATTACCAGTGATTTATAGACTGTTCCATCATGTAAGACTGAAGTGCCTGATTGACATGTGTGGGAGTACTGTAAATATTAATGCTCTGAAGAAGATGACTTTGTAACATTCCTCACGACACGTGTTTGCATTGCTCTTCTGTGCTGCCCAGGCCACCTGGCAGTGCAAATTATTTGTTTGGTACCACTCCCCCTACATGTGAGTGGCATTCCAAATACTGCCTTTTCTCCAAAGGCTAAGGTGAGAAAAGAGCGTGACGTCTTGTAAAGAAAGATAACAAGATAGAAAGATAACCAATACATAATCTAGAAGCTCAGGAACAAGATTCCTTACTGAGCCATGTGACCATATTGAGTTTTAGGCAGGCTGTCATTTCTGAGTGATTGTGAGCAATTTTTATTTGCGTATTTTGTCAGGAAGAAAGTCACAAAGCAGAACGGACTTGGCCAGTGACTGCCTAGCATAGAAATAAAAATTGCTGTTCTGCATTACTTCTCAGTCTGTATTTGAACAGTCCAGGATTACAGTAGGCAAAAGGAAATGTCTAGCAAGATATTTGACTTGGAAAGCATCTCACAGGAACTGTCTTACCCAAATGTAATGAGAAAAAATAACCAAATATATTGGAAGGAAGGAGAACATAGGAGTCCAGCAAACAGGGAAGGGAGTATCAAGTAGACTGTCAGTTCTTCACACTGGATGGAAAAAAATATAAAAATATTATTTCTGAAGACCTTTCAGGCCACCTGAAATGTGTAAGATGAGAACTTGCTATCAGCAGAGACAAATACTTCCCATTCAGCTGGCCATTACCTTACCTGTTTTGGAGATTTCAAAACCAAGCATTTTATAGCTTGGTGTGTACACATAATTTGTTATGCAGATAAGTCGCCCCCTCCCCCCCGCCCCCCGTACTTAATTTATCACTGATTTTTGCATTGCATGAACATGTTTTCTTAATTTCTAGATTTATCAGATCTATTCAAAGAGGTCAGCAGAGGATATTTATAAGATACTTACATCTTACAAAGCCAATTTTCTGGTTATTGAAGATTCAATTTGCAATGAAGTGGGACCTGTAAGAGGATGTAGAGTTAAAGATCTATTGGATATTGCTAATGGTCATGTAAGTAACAGTAAAAAAAAATGAATGTTTGAGTGCATAAATAATTCATTTAAAAAGAAATCTTCTTATAATGCTGATCTTATTTCTCTCAAGACTCATACATTTAAAAAGTGATCAATAAAGTTTTGGTTTGCCTGTTTCTTATACACCTGTAGTCTTACTCCATACTATTCTATAACTGCCCTAATCCCTCATAATACATTAGTATCTAGCTGTGCTGCTTTTCTGCCAATCATTAAATACCATTTAACTATATGTAAGTGTTTAAGGCTGTAACACCTGAAGAGGTTATTACAAAAGCAGTAAAGCCATGCCTCAGAGGGCATTCTTTACTACCTTTAACGGTGAAATTTTAAAATGGATAAACAGTTCTTCTAAAACTCTGCCTGGGATGAGGACCAGCCTGCCATTCAATTTGGTACAGCCTGTTTGGTGCTGATGAGGTTACAAGTCTGTTGGATCGGTCTTGCAGATAGGTTAGCACCCCAATAAACAGCTTAAGCCACAGCTGGTAGAAAGATTGGTTGAATAAACTGGAGAGTTAGGAAGATATCCATGAGTGTTACTTCAGTCATTGCCGTGCTGTGGCTGTTACGAATGCCAATAGTGCTGCTCTTGCTGCTGAAGTAGGGAATGAGGTGGGGTTTATAAAGTGATCTCATTACCACTTGTTCATTTGTTTCCTGAGAATCCAGCAAAAGTTTTGTCTTTATAAGGCAGGAGTGGCCCTAAACTTGCTTAGGGTTTTGTTGCTCATTCTCAGGTCAACAGGAGAGAGGGAGTCACCAGTTACTTCTAAGCAATCACAGGTTAGCTTCATTTAGGTAGTTTCCTTGCTAAGAAAAAGAACTGCAGCATCTGTTTGACTGTATTAACTATACCAAGTTAATTCTTGGTTTGAATGCTTTTTTTTATTTGTCGTAAATGAGGAGGATACATGTTTTTTGTATATAGTCTTATATTCCATTCTTGGGGAAAAATCCAAGCTGTTCATCTATGTTACGTATTTTATAAGCTCTACTTTCGATGATACACATTTCAAAAGAACTTGTAATGCAAGCATTTAATTTCTGTAGTTTCTTTCATTTGGGGAAGTAATTTTAGGGGTGATATGTTTTGTGGGGATTACTCTTTAATTTCCCCAGGAATCTACCACTAGTGTCAGTTTCACTGGTAGGTTTTCTGGCCAGTTTATCCATGGAGGATATTGTTTCTGTTTTTCTATTAACTTCCTTACCATTGGTGAAATCTGTCCTTTTTCTTTCTTTGCCTTGCTGCTAAAATCACGTATGCCATGATTATTCTGTGTTGTAGCCAGTATGGTGTACCATAACAAAGTGTGTGTGTATGAATAACCTCCATCATTGATAATCAGCACATGTTGTCTCTCAGTTTCTTCTGAGATCTGTTTTTGCATGAGTAAGTTCCTGTTCCCTCTTCACACTTAGGATGTCAGCTGGAACAATTAATCACAATTTCAGGATTCCATTCGCTCATACCCCTGCATCTCTCATCTCCATACTTCCTGCATCCTTCTCTTTCGCACGTAATCCTGATGTCATCCTAACTTCAGCCACACAGTTTTACTGTCAGGTTTTTAAGTTTTTGCTTGATTAATGTATCAGAATGAGTTTCTTCCTCCTTTAATTCCCAACACCCAGTTATTCAGCAGTTCGTCCTAAGGAACGCTTCCCAGTACTTTTCAGAGCAGTTGTTGCTTGCAATAATAATTTCAATCGAAGGGGGAAAAAACATCAAAAGACAATATCCAATGCAAGAAGCCTGTCTGATAAATGCCACACACAGCACTGTCAATATACAAAAACAGCCATTTACTATTTTTGTGTAATTAGGATTGTCAAAGTGACGAGGGTTATCCTATTTATAGTGGAGAGATTAAGAAGGGGAAAAGAAGGTTCATGATGAGCGTTTCAGTTAAAATCTGTTCTGCTGAACGTCTGTAATCTAAATCTGTAACAAAACAACTGGTATATACATTTAAATGTAGACAACTGAGTGTTCAGTATTTTAGAAGAGGATTGGTTGGGTAGTAATGAATATCACTTGTGCATCCTGTCTGTGGCTGAGTCCATACTGGGCTGAATGCTAACAATGGTAGTTGTAGAAGAAATACTGGAATGGCCAACAGGAATAAAGTATTTTTTTTCAGAAAATTGACATAGTTTGTTCCTGAAAGTTGATACAGTGTGTTGGCCCAAGAAGCTTTGAAACAAAACTCTCAGTCTGCTGGCTAACAAAAATTGTCTTAAGTCATATTGAAAGACTATCAAGACTTTCCAAACTGGTGGAAGCTGGTGCATATATAGTTGGAGACTGCAGCATTTACTTATTCCCAAAGTGAGGGAGGCAGTGGACAGGCTGTTATGCTGTTGACAGGTCTATGGATGTGTTTTCCAAATTGCTGTGGTTAAGAAGGTAAGTATTACTTTCTAGCTTAGACTATGTCCTGTAGTCCTAGTCTGGTATCTTGTTTCTGACACTGACTGTGAGCATATGATTATTGATAGGGCAAGACAGGTGTTTTCCAGCAGTCTGTTGCTGAAGGACTGTAGCTCAGGGGAAATATCTTTGTGTTTGGTAGCCACTGATAGATTTTTCTCCATTAATTTGTCCTGCCACCTTTTTTTAAACCCGTGTAAATTTATGCCATCAGAAGGAGTCGCAAAGGGATTTCTTCAAGGATATCAGATAGTAGATGATAAAACGCACAGGCAATTTGCATCCAAGTCAATTGGTTGGAATTTATACGGCGATACATGTGTGTATGTCTTCACTCTTTTTATTAGGTATGTCAAACTTACTTGACCTGGAAAGGGTAATTGAGAATTTCCTTCCCTACATGGATGGTATGCTATGTGCAGGTCAGGTTTAAAGTACTGGGTAAATAGGACATATGGATAATTTCCACTGTCGTTGTTCTTTATTGTGTGAATAAAGTACACTGGCTTTAACGTCTGCTATCCTGACAAAGGTATTAACTCACAAAGGCTGTTTTAGATGGTTAAACAAATTATAGGGGAATATGTTTTCAGCTTACTGGAATCATACAGTATGGAAATTTAAATGTCTATTGTAAATGAAATTTACAGAATACAGAAGTAAATTAAATGTACAGAATTACATTCTGTAACCACTTCAGTATTTTAATTAGATCGTCTTCTTTTCTAACAGGTGGTTTGTGAGGAAGGCGACAGCTACGCCTACTCAAAATATGGACGATTTTGTCATGAAATCAAAATGAACTATTCTCCATATGTGAATTATTTTACTCGGGTATACTGGAACAGGTCTTACTTTGTATATAAAATCAACACTGTGATATCCTTCCAGTCATGAAAAAGCAGGCAAGCTTCTTTCTGAAGATTGATCATGAATGAAATTCAGCTGGAAAAGTTCCTTTTGACAAAGGAAGTTATTTTTGCAGACACATGTGTGCACATACCACGTGTTGACAACTTTATTTTACCAAACTGGAATTCTTTGAACTCGAGATCAACAGACACAGATACCATCCTTGAAGGAAACACGAAAATTTGTCAATTTTACAGTGTCTACAAAGTGTGACAGTCTTCCATGTTTTGTGTTCTTCCTCCCATTATAAATCATCTTAATCTTCATGTAAATGAGATTTCTAACTTTAGTGTTAGAGGGCTGATATGGGTAGACTTCAGTAATTGCAGAAAAAATATTTAAAGAGCTCGTTTAAGTCATATAGCTTTTATTTTCTAGCAAGAAAGCAATCGGTATCCTGAATCTTTTTAAGTAAGTGTGTGGGTTTTTTGGGTTTTTGTTGTTTTAATTCTTCCTGTCTTCCACTGTAAACATTTCTATGTTTATCAAACACACATTCATACATCTTTTGTATAACTATAGTGTTTGTATAAATCAACTAAGGAAGATTTTATTTAAACAACACTTTCATAGCTTAAGGCACTGATCTCTACATTGCTAGAGACATGTTGGTGGAAGTGCTTGGACTTAGACCTAGCAGTAGGAGTTGACAAGGTCAGATCTTCAGTTTGGAAAGAACTTGCCTTCAGGATTTTTCCATGCTTAAATGTGTATGTGTGTATGCATATCTGTGTCTTAGCAGCCACCAGAATGGGCCAGTATACAACAGTATGCCATACTTGTTTTTAGACAAGTGTAGCAGGACAGCTAGGTTTGCTACTGAGACTTGTGCACTTCTGTTTCACCCCCTGTGTGTGCGTGCTGGTATATATGTGTGTGTATATGGGGAGGGATGGGTGATATTAATTTCGTTCAACTTACTATGTGATAGTTACATTAAGATAGTGCCATAACTGTAATTTAAAATGCTATAATCACCACCATTAATAAATGATGGTACAGTTGTTCATAGCTATTTTTATATCAGTTATGCAACTACACCAAGATCTTTGAAAATTTGGGAAAGTACTCTGCAATCTTGGTTCCCTCTAAAATTTGTCTTCCTTATATGACTCCCTTTGCCTCTACAACTATTTTTCTTAACAAATTATCCGTTCATCCTGTTTGTTGCTGGCTGATATACTTTCAAGAGAATGAATGATGCTTTTAATTCTGACTCTGGTCCTAATCCTGGTGTTGCAAATGGAAAATCCAATAAAAGGTAACGGTAGCTTTGCTTATGTAGGTGTAGCTGGACAAAAAGCTAGGAAGTAAGTTTTGGAAGAGGTTGTTCGCCTGTTAGGAGTTACCTGCAGTTACAGATTCATGTAACACTTGGCCCAGAGACCAGTCTATTAGGTATGTGGGAATGATTCTTTGGAGCACGGATGTCTTCAATGAAGGATCTGGCATAATAGGATGAACTTTCAACTGAAAAACCTGCGAACCATTCTGCAGATGAAAGGTGCAAGACAATCCTTACCGCACTTGTTGATAAAATGCAAATTCAGAGATTTTAACTCTGAAATTATTAGGAACTGCAGCTTGTTGGTGTGTATGCATGGTTCTTACCTGCCCTATGCAGATACATTTGCTTACTTTACACTAGCAGGTAGTGCTGAGATTTTTTAAAACCTATTATCACTGTTGGAGTGATTTGAGAGAAAAAACTTTATTGTTGTAAAAGTCAACATGTCTGTAATCTGGTTTTTGCTTTCAGTTATATTTTTAGGCCTATGGGTCTCAACGAGACGTTAAATTATGCATTTTATTTGAAACCAGTGTTCAGATAAATCCATCGAATATACTAGATGCGATCATTAAGAGAAACATTTATCAGTCTAACTGAGTTACAAGTTAAAAGTAAATATCCTTTCTGGGGATATCATCGTCGTGTTGAGGGTAGTGTGTATGTGTGTCTCTGGCCCAATGCAGTCTACATGTAATTGCTTACGCACAAGTGCATATGTGTTACTGCACTGGGCAGTTTCAGGCTTTTCAATTACCATGTAACAACAGAAGCTAGTATGTTAACTTGAGCTATGACAGGCCTGCAGGGACCTTCTCTGTATGTGCTAGTATGGATGTAGAGGTATTATTTGGAAGTAAGTTTGGAGTTCCTTATACAGTTGGAGTTTGTTTGAATCACTGTCAAGGAATTACATGTCTGTGTGTCAGTCGTTTACTCGCCTGATGTTAATCACTCATGAATATCATTTCATAACAGCAATAAGGCATTCCAGGTAGCAAACTTCAGGGTTACAACTGCACTTGGGTGGATGAAGTCACATGGCTTACGGCTTCATGCCTTAGACTGCCATGCCAAGATGCAATATTTAACTATCCTTTGACTGCCTGTGTTTTCCCACAATACTGTATGTATGTGGTTACCACATAGAACGTAGTCTGAATACTCACATGTAGAGAACACGTTAGGAAAAACACAAACGAGGCCATCAGTACCTCTAAAGAAAACTATCTTGTGGCATGTTGGCCTTTATAAATGTTTAAACGAACATGTTGAACTTTATTTGAACTGTGACATAGTTGTTATTATTAGTTTTGTCATAGTTTTTAAGATGTATTCTTGATACTTCAATTGATTCTGCTTTAGGAGAATCATTTAAGATTTTTAACTTGCTTTTTATATTAGAGAAAATTGTATTGCAGCACCATCGGCACAGCAGCCTTAAGTAACAGAAGCAGCCTTCTATGTGGGAGAAACATTGCTCTTGTTCCAGTAAAAAGGCATCATTTTTAAAATGAGTGACTGGAAGAATCATATCTTACAAAGACAATTATGAGCTTGAATTTCTTATCCAGCTATGGATTAGCAAAAATATTATTATCTATTTGAATCTCCACCTTCTGTGAAAAATAAACAGTAAGTTTCATGATATCCCTCAGAAGAACAACAATAGGACGTAATTACATCAAACTTCTACACACAACCTTAGCTTGGTTTTCAGCCAGGTCATAGGTTTAACTCCCTGAAAGGGCTGGGGAAAGTTTTACAAATTTTGATCTGTTTTGCTGTAGATGTTGCAATTCAGTTGAAACATGTGCCTTGCAAGCTTTTATTAAACAAACAAAAACCTCAATTTGTGTTTCTTTTTATGAAGATTTTTTTTTTCAAATTCCTGTCCCTCTGATTTCTAGAGCTTCTGTTGTGTCTTAATACCCCAGCCTCCGAGGATGCTCATGTAGTAAGAGGTGCAGCTAGGATGTATGCCGGCCGTCCAACAGCTGTTCACTGTGAAGAATGAGAATTTGCATAGCAATTTGTGTTGCTATTTTGCTGGCTTATTTCCTCCTTCATGTTTCCAATTTCTGATATGTTTGATCTTAGTAAATGCAAAAAAATTACCTTGAAAGAATAAATTGAGTATAGTGTTTTCAGGCACTTACCTGTTACCATTAGACGTGTGGATTAAAGTTTAATCAAGCCACAGCTAAGCTGACATCTACAGTTTTGTCTTAATCTTAAAAAAATGCTCTTTCACCTCCTGAATTACCACACGCTTGAACTCAGTTGGTAGATTTGCCAGGAGATGTTTGAGACTAAGTAAAGGCATTTCAGAACAGAAGCTTCTATTCATATTAGTTAAAAAAATACTGGTTTTATTTCTTCCAAAGTAAATGGAAATACAATTTAATACAATACAACCTTAAATACAGTTCCCATTGGGGGTAAGGAGGAGATACAAAGATACAGAAGAAAGAGGGCCAAAAAAGGTTTAACAGGCATTGAAAATTCTTCAAACTTTGCTCTGCTGGCATTACTGTTTACTGAAAGGTAGGAGGTTAGGGACCAAATATGTTCTTACCACCTTATTTTTACTAAGTCATCTGCAAATGTCCAAATCGCTTGACCCTTTGTCAGCTTTCCCATGCAATTCACATGAATAGGAGCTGCGAGCTCAGGTCGTAGGGATTGTTAAGCTGTCGTTGAAACACTTCTTAATGACTGCTGTTAACTTCGTATAACCTGTCCTTTAACCAAAAATGTCAGAGGAGAAAGCATAGGCTGTTCGTGTGAATGTATGGGCATGCGTGTTGTATTTGCGTTTAGAAATGTCCGGTTTGCTATTGTGTTTTGGAGTTGTAATGAGTAACTTCTGTTATTGCTAACGGTGGTTGAATCTATCAACCTCCCAAATATTGACAGGCAGGTGGACTGTAGGGTACTATGCTATTAGAGATGAAAGAAAAGCTGAGTTTACTCCAATATAAGCAATATTTCATGTGAAATAATACCTCAACATAAATCTGTATACTCATGCCTTTAGTATTTTTTTAAAAACTTAACTTTAGGGGAAAAAAGTGGGAATTCTAAAACATGCAGTCTGTGTTATTTTAAGCGTTTCTACTTCATCAGTACAGCTAAAAGAAAATATCACCATTATGTTGCTGCACTCTTGCTATGCTAAATGCAGAGCTAGCGATGCCTGAAGGTCTTCTCAATTGTCTGGAACCTCAACTAGATTTTTAAATGTGTAATTAATCTGGCAACGTTTTTTATTTCAGTGCAGTTAAATGTATGTAATTCTGCCTTTCAAGTGATGTTTAAGGTTAACCTATTTATTTGATGGAAAAGAGGTGGATGTCAAATGCCTTTCAAAGTTTCAAACTTTGTTACTTCAGTAACACAGCAGAATTATTGGTGGTGCTTGTTAACAGTGACATTTAGCAGTAGTGTATATGGCATATGGACATATCTATGTGCAGCTATTTAATAACAAATCTAAGGAATCCAATTCCTTTTATCCTGTTTGTTGTCTTGGACGGTTTTTTATCAAAGTAATGTATACATAGTAAATATTTTTCTCTTCTGACAAACCTTTTCTGTGGAAAAAAAAGAAAAAAATTTGTAATAAAAACCAAGTCCAGAAAGTATGGATTGTTTGGGACACAAACCGTTCTGTGCTTTCTTTTGAGAAGTCTGATACCCTTTCACAAAAATCATGTAGGTCATAATGAATTAACCTCCTTCCTCTGTTGCGGTAATAAAATGATTTTTATATTCTGTTGTATTATTATT